GGTTGCCCGGCGTCGGGCGGGTCATCCGCTAAACTGGGTTTGGGTGGGGTAGTTCCCCAGAACTCAGGGCACCTGTATGCTCACCCGGAGTGTGACCTTCTACAGCTCCTTGCAAAACTTGCTTCAGAACGTCGGTACGTTTTGACTTCGTTCTGTCACTTTCCCCTCCCTTCTGTAATCTTTCTGTGCTCTCTCACTGAGTCTATGCACACTCTATTGTATACTGTGTTTTTTTGGGGTGTTTTTTACGATTTAAAATTGATTTTTAGAGAGAAATCGATGTAAGAGCGATATGACTATCGAGTATACTGTTCTCAACTTCTTTTACCTATTTTCTCAAGTAACTGCATTTTTTTGTAACGACTGTGTTGCACTTGTTTTGTATATACTGTAGCTCCCCCAAACCTGCTGCAGAGCTCAACAAGTAATGGTTGCCATTGTGTCCCATTCGCACAGAGATGGGAAATAATATATGCCACCGCCTGAGGTTTAGTCTCCCTTGTCTAGAAACCTTCAGGAAGGTCAGGGATGGTTTTTAGATGCCCTTCCAGCACTATTTCAGGTCTTCACATACACTTGGTGTTCCAGTCTACAGCATATGTAGTTCAGTATTGTCAGCCTTACACCCAAAAATACATCTTTCCAAAACGTGGACCTATGATGTTGTTAAACATCTTTAAAACTAATTTTAAAGATTATCATTATAGAAATCCCTGGTCTTCACAGCCAAGATTGTACGTAGGCATGGCTGTTTCTATAGCTAAACTCTGCAGTTCTGTCTCTATATGAGGTGCTGACCTAAGTTTCAGGTTATGCATGGCCACTGGCATTTTAACTTGTCCTTCTTTACACTGAAGTCACTGCAGGCTGGCTGCAGAGCTTCAACAGACAATTCTCACATAAACACAAATAACACTTGCTATTTCTAATCTTCACACCTTAATCCAGACCACCTCAATCAGGTGGAGGTTCTTCTAGATAAAATCATTGCACTGACAAAGATGATCTTCCAAACAACTCTCCTCCCCTTAATTCTTTGGGTCTGTGAAGCCTTTTCCCCCACTCACAGGTCTTCCGCTGCTACCTAGGCCACTGAGAAAAATGTTCACCAAACTATATTTTCAAAGTAGCCTTCTCAGCACAAGGAAAAAATGCTAAAATGGCATAAAAACAACATTCTCCCCACCACTTGTGAAAGAAAAAAGCTTGGATAAAATGCTCTCAATGTGAACAAAGTTTTTCCTCTCATAAAGATCTTAAGCGTGTTTTTTCTGCTCTTACTTGCCTACCAGTGAAAAAACAAATCCTTAAGTAATAATTGAAATGACAAGAAACAAAAAACTGCAACCAGCCAATCATGCCCAGATTGGCAGTTGTTTTTGTGGCCAATGTATGCCCTTGTTAGTTTACAATGCACATCAGCTATACTTTGTCTGTATAGATGTTCCACATTAGTGGAGCAGAATTATAAAACTATTTCAAAGTTTTTCCACAGAGCAGGTCCTAACTTCCTGGTGTTCCACTATCTAAGAACCACAAGGATACTGGAACTAGTATGTCAGTGGTAAATGTCCAAATCCTGCCAGGAATGTTTATTTAGATTTTTTATTGATTTTTAGAGAGAGGGAGAGAAACATTGATGTATTACATCTATCGCTGCCTCCTGCACACTCCCTGCCAGAGATCGAGCATGACCAGGAATTGAACTGGCAGCTTTTCAGTGCACAGGAGGATGCCCAACCAACTGAGCCACACTGGCCAGGGCAGGAATATTTAAAGTGACCCACAATAGAAGGCAATGTTCAGCCAAAATTAATGAATGTCAAAGTATCAGACATTATTTTCATTCACTAAAGGCTTGAATCATATCAAAGGTAGTCCTAGACAGAATCTTAGTTACAAATGAGTCAGGGGAGATAAAAACCAGACAAAACACACACGCAAAATTAGCCAAGAAAGGTAAGACATTTTATTTTACATACAAAAAGGGTGCAAACTGAATCCGTTCCTCCCCAAATTGGGGAAGAGGTATACTTAAAGATCACATTTGTGTTTTCCATGGTGCCCTAGGAAATGGGCTACTTGAGATAACACAGCAAGACCCATTTTCCATTTTCTCCAAAGAAGGCTACTTCCTCTGCAGAGGAGTTTTTCCTAATGATGTCACAAATCTCTCTCCTGGAGGAATCATTTCAAATACACTTGAAATTGACATTCATGTTTAAAAATACTACAAGTTTCATTTCACAGCTGAGCTTTGTGACCAGTGCCAGGGTTTATGAAACATTACACATCTAAAACAACAGGTTAAAAAAAACATAAGGCATTTAACAATGATCAGACACATCCACACATCAATTAAAACTGATTTCCACAGCTGATTTATACATTATCTAGTCTTAAAAAATTGCAATCAACATCCCAACATCTTTTTAAAAGTACAATGGGCAAAGATTAAAGAAACAAACAAAATAATATAATAAATTAGAGCATGTAATATATCCAATGGGAATTGATGAATCAACATTATTTTCCATTGGGGGGTTTATAGTATTTTTGGTTTCATCCTATCTTTTCTGCTGTTTATTCTTCTGATTGATAAATGGGGCTCATTCCCAGAGTCAGCTTGCTGTGACACTAATTTGAGAAGCTCACTTGTTACCTGTTTGCTTCCTAGAATATTCAGAAACACATGGTCCCAGCAGCCTGGGCTGAGTTTTTATGGAAGTGAAATACACACGAATGAGCACACACATACAAGCATACAAATGCAATCACACACAACCATCTGTAAATATATTTCCCCCCAAAGAAATGGCTCATCTTTCCTGAGACATTCCTAACAAATTGATAAGCCTCTTAAAAAAGCTTTCCGTGCAAGGGCTGGCCTGGGATTTGGTCTGGAGCTCATGAAGAGGAACACTGAAAATGCCTCAGCTGCCCTGGAGGAGGGGATGTGTGGGGAGAGGCAGTCAGGACAGCTGTCCTCTCGTGTGTGTTACTGGGATGACTGCACTGCACCTCCCTTTATTACCATGGATAACTCTGTGCGCTGAGATTTTGAAGGTGGTGATGGCACCAGAAAGATGATTGTGAGTAATAAAGGAAACTAATAAAAGAAACTGTCCACTGAACTGAGGTTACGGAATAACATCAAGTTTGGTAATCAAACTAGAAATATATGGAGTACACGTTCACTTTTTCCTTTGTAAGCTGATCTACAAATACTGGAGTGGAGTTCCTGGTTGTTTATGAGGAAATATGTCGTCTACTACTGTCTATATCCAGGGAACCTACTTACTATTTTGAATACAACGAAGAAATCTACTCTTTTGCACTCAGTCACCTGCAAAAGGAGTTAGGGCACACGTGTTCTTAAGACTGCTTAACCAGACTTCCAAGATTTCTTATTTGTGGCTAAAAATTGCTCAAAACTCTGCAAGTCCTCAGAAGGGCACAGATTTCCTCTTATTCAGATACATTCCTCCCACCCCCCAAAAGAAAACCCAAGAAAACAAAACCATAGGAATCCTATTGTGATTCCTACCATCCCATTATGGGGAAGACTGAGTGTCACTGTCCATCAACCTCTGGAAGGTACTTGCCTGAAGCCCTGGTATAGGCAAAAGCAAGAATCCCAGAGACAACTGCCTGTTACTTACAGGCCAATCCAGACGGTGTGCCTAGTTATCCTGGCTCCCTAAAGGCTTCTGAAATTTTCCCACCTTGGGGCAATGGTGGGGATGGCGGCAGTGAACTGGCAAAAGCAATGTTGGCTATATATGGCGCTGCAGGCTCCCACCCAGTCTGAGAAACTAGCCTTAACGTGGTGGCTTTGACACTGGAAATAACGTCAGGGCAACTCACTGGGAATGGAAAACAGGTTTAACTATGAATAGGGAAGAGGTAACTGGGACACGGGTAGAGATGCATCAGAATGATGAAGTTCTTTTGAGAAGATGCTTTCTAGGCTGCCATGGAAGTACTTATTTTTGAAAAATGCAGGCCATGCTTGCTCACTGAGAGGGGGTTATATCTTTTGCATAAAAAGTTAAGGCCATGATCTTTAGTAACCACTCTGACATAACATCACCATCACTGCATATTCCTAACATTGAAAGTGATTACTAACACTGAGAATCAACACTGAACATGTACCACCAGAGTACATTTCCAGTGAACTGAGATGGACGTTACTATAGAGGCAAAGGACACCTCTTCTGGCTAATGGCAGGGGCTGTTTCTATGTAGCTGGAGTTCACTGAGAATTAATAGGCACTAACACTTCTGCAGCAAACCCAGGATCCTGCTGTCTCCTATTGCCCCTGCATTCTGAAGTAAAATGGAGCTTTAACTGGAGGCCAACTTAGTCACCTGACTTGTACCTTTCTAGACCTTTTTACTCCTAGACAGACCCAAAATTGCAAGCAGGTGTTAAGGCAGTCACAAAAGCACACTGCTGCTGGCACCCATCCTTGCAGACCAGTCTGGAGTGAGATCACTGGGAAACACCAAGGTGTGTATAGCAAGTGATCAACCCTTACATGCTTAGACTTCGTAGACACAAGTCATGCTCTGGTCACAAGGGAAAGACCCTTTATGCCTTGGTGGATTTTGACCTGCTTGCCTCAATCTGCTCAGGATGCAATGCTTAAAGACTGCAGGGCTTGGGAGAACTCCCAATGGTATAATACTACTTTTTTCTTTTTTTCATGAACAGATGCTGTTAGTGCTTAATGCTAACTCAGAAACAATTGCATCAGTCCAAAAGAAAAAGATCCCTAGGTCGTAAAATGAAGAAAGCTCAAAAACTACAGAGCAAGTGGATTTGGGTAGGTGGTGGTTGCAGGGAGTGCCCAACCCCAAGGCCCTGGCTAAGCAACTATAGCAACAGAGTAGAGGAGGGAGCCCTGATATGCAGGTGGGGATGGAACTGATGGCCAAATTACTCCTTAGGTACTCATTTTTAAAATTTTAACGAAAATCACAATTGAATTTCTCAAGGGTCTGGGACTGCCTTGGAGAGCCAATGACCTTGGAAGGATCACCATTACCCTGCAGGACAGAGGGACCCAGGGCTTTCACCTTTGTTATGAAAATCAAATAGCTAGCAAGAGATTGTAGGGGGCAGAGTGAAAACAGTGCATTAGGAGGGACCCCCAAAACTGTTCAGGTTCACACCCTCAAGAGCTAGTCTTAAAAAAAAATTAAGACCAAAAAAGTCACAAACCCAGCTGCCTGCCTTGCAGCCAAGCTGGTCACTGCCTTTGCTTTTTTTTGTGGAAGCAGGGGGTGAGGAGGCACTTAGTGGGGTGTGGAGTGCCAAGAGGCTCCAGGTTCTGCCACCATTTCCCCTTGCCCTCCCTTGAGAGGCAAGGCTTTTTCTATACAGGTATGAGAAAGTTTCTATATAGGAAGTTAGTGTTGCCTCAATACCAACTGAGAAACTATGTAAATTTCAGTGATTATACCTTAACCACTAGATAATGTCAAGGAAACAAATCCCAATATTCAAAATCCTTGTGGGGAAGGGGTGTGACACTGAGTCTCCCAGCCACTTAGTTTTGTATACAGGAAAATTTCTCTTAAAGAAATGGAAGATTACAATCTTTATATAAGCTAAGCAAGTTTGAAGCGAGGGAAATGATATTTCCTGGCAAGGCCTGATGGAACAGGGGAAACCCAGTAACTGTTTTATGCTACTGCTATTTCTGCTCCATTCATCAAGGGACTTGTCAGGAAATGCCAACTACAAAAAGTATCCCCACACCCTCTAGTCCAAAAGACAGCCCTACACCTCAAGTCAGAGGCAATGATTTCTGTGTTCCCAGAACCACCAGACTAAGTCACCAGCCACTGTCCTCCAAGCTTAGCTCTCTCTACTTCCAGATATAAGACCTCATTCCCTGATGTAAACAATCCTTTCTCTATCACATATGGAATGAGAGAGCACTGTTTGGATAAGCCACTGAACTCAAATGAAAACTGAGCACAAGATGAACTCCATACATTAATAATTTTTAAAGCAGTGAATGAGGAACCAAGACTCTTCATGGCAGTATGTCATGTGACTATACCATGGTGGTGGTGTAGAGGCAGAGAGTATACTGGGAGAACATGCTCTAGATGAATGGCCATCTTATTTGGAAGGAGTCTATATCCAATTGAGAGGATAATTTCAGAGCTTTTATTTCAGTCTCCTTTCCCCTGGAATTTTCCAGCACCAACTAATCTTACCCTCCTGTTCACTCCAGCCCCATGTAGTGAGTCCTAAGCCTGCTGCTGTGGACCTGCTAGGAGAAAATCTGCAGGTGCCTGGTTTCTGATAAGGCAGGCCAGCCCAAATGCTCTAACTCAGCTACTGGGGCAGACAGTACATACCAATTTTATTTCCTGGCCCTATGATGCCAAATCCTGAGTTTCCTTTGGCAGCTGGAAGGCAGGTTCACTTTCCTCCTCTTTTTGTCCACTAGTGGCAATATGATGGTGGCGGTTTCATCACTAATTTTGTTCCCCAAAGTCACTAAGGAAATCACATGGCTATCTAGTTGGAAGTCCCTGGCAGTGGAGGAAACAGATGTTTCAGATTTTTAAAAGTTATCTCCTTCTCTGGGATGAACTGTCTCCTGGTCACAGTCTGGCTTGGCTGGTTCATCCCATGTGCTGGAGAGCTAGGCTGTCCAAACTGCAGGCTGATGAGGTCAAGAGGCTCTGGTAGGGACATTCTTCAGTAGCTGAGAAGATGAATGAAAATTCAAGTATGTTTCCTTGCCAACCTGAGTGTTTCTCAGAATGACATGGAGTTTGGCTTCTTCTCTTCTGGGTGTTGCAGACCCAACTCTTTCCATTGAGAATGTCCTCTGGACCCATGTTCTCTCTGAATGGCTTGGCTGGCCCCATCCCCCTCAAAACAGAAAAAAAGTAAAACTCCCAATATAACCAGACACAATATGCATCTGCCATGTTTTCTGTTAAAAAAACAAAAACAAAAAACTAAAAGTGCAATAAAGTCAGGTTTTTTTTCCTTTTCTCAGAACAATTTGCATTGTTCTACTACTGACTGGAGAATAGAGTTCGCTTGTCAAGAAAGCTAAGAATGCCAACACACAGGGACAGTAGACTGCAGATTCCTCACAGCTTGTGTCCTACAGTGTAACTTCACAGGAGGGAGGGAGGGAGTAACCTGCACCCCGTGGCCAGTTGGGGATGGAGGCTGCGCAGGCACAGAGGAAGAGGAAGCCGTACTGCCAGATACCCCTGGAAGGTAGAGAAGGTCCTTCTCCAGCTCAGGCCTGCCATCTTCCTCCTACCTTCTTGGCCACACCCCCAGCCTCTTGAGTTCCTTCAGCAGACAAAGCCTTCAACTCACTAGCTTTAGTGCTGGAGAGGGTTGAGGGTGGGGCAAGGACCAGGAGTAAACTAAGGGGAGGGAAGAGAATAGTAGTCCTTGAGTTTTTGTGAATGACACCTTCACTGTAAACAATAGGAAGGAGAGTCAACCAGGTGGCCCCAAGGGCAAGCAGTGGAGGAGCAGCAGCTCTGGGACCTGCTCAGAGCCTTAGGCAGGTAGGGACAGCCACTGACCCACTGGGCCCTGGCTGCCCACACTGGCTCCTTCTGGGGGCATCCGTTTTCTTTTTGGTTTGGATCTCCACCCTCCCCAGCAGAGGAGTCCTTTCCAATGAGAAATGGCAGGAGCTGCAGGTGCAATCGAGTCAGAGTCCCCAGGGCCTGAGGACTCCTGGGAGGCACTGGTCACTTGTGGCGCTGAGCAGTCTTCTTCCTTTTCCTCTTAAAGAAACAGCAGCACCTGGAGCACAAGGAACATTGCAAGTCAGTGTCAGAGGCCTGCAGCTCCAACAGACTTCTGCCTGCTTCTGCTTACTGCAGGGTGTGGAATTCTCCCCGGCACCCACCCACAGGGCACTCCACCAGCGACAGTGGAGGCAGTAGGCAGTGTCTGCCAGGGAAGCCAAGGCAAAAGCTGCTTCACTTCCATGTGCAGCTACCAAACAATGGTCCAGACGCTGCAGGCTAGGCGGGGCCGAGGCAAGCACCTCTGGAAGGAGGATGGAGGCGGCTATTTCCTAGTGTAGCACCCAACCCACACGTCCCATCTTTCCAAAGAACCAAGGTTGGGGGTCTGGGGGTTGCACAACAGGCCACACTGTCTGCCCCTTGAGAGAGGGAAAAATTTAATGCAGCTACAGTGGTCAGCAATATGGAGGCTAAACTGAGGCAAACCAACCCCATGGAAGTATGATGTTTGGAACTCTAGGAGAATCACACCACTACACCAAGGAAGAAACAAACATTCTCTCTCCCCATCCCTGCCCCCACCCAGCTACTTAGATAGGCAGAAGCCCTGCCTCTAATGAACTGGGAGCCCAGATATCCTGACTGCAGTCCGCACAGCCCACTCTTCATTCTGAGAGGATCGATGCCACAGCCCAGGAGCTGATCACCAGGAGGCATCTGGTGGCAGGTCTTCCTCAACTTAGCTTCCAGACACTGCTGCTGCTGTGCCAGCCTGGGTTACAGGACTGACCCTGCTTAGGGTGGTGGTTGGGTCTGCTCCTTCCATGAGCCCTCTAAGTGCTGCCTCCTGGGCAACAGCCATAACCCTGGCACATCCCTAAGCCTGGCTATCCCCTCCTTACTCCTGCCTGTGGAACAGGAAGCACCTCTTTCTCAGGTCCAGAAGGGGGTGATAAGGGCTGTGGCATGGCTGGTGCATAAGATATGTCCTTTCTAGGACTTTGACACATGGGAAATGAGAAGGTAGTGAATGAGTCATGATGGAGGGGAGTAAAGTTGGAAGTATAACTCAGATTTGCCGGACCCTTGAAAAAAAAGTTTTTATGAGAAAACTATCTTAGAGTTGCTTGCCCAATCCTTCCAGGCTTACTGCCAGGAATATTCATATGGAAATAAAGAACTGCTGCTTACTTCCTATATCCCTAAGTTTTCCACTTTAGCTAAGATTCCCTCCTTTTTCAGTCAGTCCGCTTGGTATTTCCTACACCCATTGGACTAGTTATTAAAAATTCGAAGAACTCTTGGAATGCAAAAATAGACATTTACACAGATAATAATGGGCTTTAACCATATCTGAATGAATCAAACATGGATTTTGGAAATAGCATCTTAATAAGGTCTTAAGATTTTCTAAGAGTATTAATGACATTTGTAAAGTACTACTAATGGGTTTGAGTACAGTTACTAAACAAAGTATAGTGTGTATTTGGAGACTGAATACATTCTCTCTTTTTTTAAAATTTATTTTTATTGATTTCAGAGGGAGGAAGGGAGAGGGAGAGAGATAGAAACATTAATGATGAGAGTCAATGACTGGCTGCCTCCTGCACGCCCCCTACTGGGGATCGAGCCCGCAACCCGGCATGTGCCCTGACCGGGAATCGAACCTTGATCCCTGGATCCTAGGTCGATACTCAGCTGCTGAGCCATGCCGGTCAGGCTGAATACATTCTTTTATGTAAAAATGAGCAACAGTTTTGATTGTTTCAAACAGTCCTCAATGGTATCCCTGAGGAAGGACTCAAGAAAATGATCTTTTTCTGTATACATATGGTTTAGAAAAAAGACATTTTCCAAGTTGAATGTCCTGAAATTAATATTAAACAAGGCAAATTAAATATCATGGGAGCACCAATATTTCAATACAGGTACCTGTTCCCTATTAACCATGACTTTTAGAGGGATCACTAACATTTAAGCCAGTATCTATTCTTACTCTTTTTAGAGGATGTTAAGATGATGACTTTGTGTTTTTGTTTTTAAATAAGAGCAATCATAAAAAAGTTTGAAATACTGTTTTAGTCCATCTCAAGTGATAGGACTTTTCTTTTACCTCCTCTGAAGCAAGTCATAAGAAATTAATGTCCGCTTATAAGCGTATCATAACCTGATGTGCAACGCTGTTCACCTGATTGGAGAGTGTGAGCTGTGGTTTAGAGCCCCAGATTAATTTTTTCTGGTTACTGTAGTTAAAGCTTTAGCAGTAGCAGGTTTTAATAATTCTACCCACAAGGAATCGGACTCCAAAATCTGCTCAACTCTTTGGTTTCTGTGGTGACTACTGGCAACAGGACCCATTAAACTTGGTCAAATCCAGACCAAACTGACTGATTCCATACAGAGATCTTACTATCAGAAGAAGATGAAGGCCAGTGATGAACTCTTCTTGGGTCTTAGGTTTCCTTCCAGTTGATTCTTTGATTGGTTGACCAGAAGTTCTTAACATGCTGGAGTGAAAATCAATCTATTCTCCCTATTCACAAGCCACCAAATGCTCTTCCCCCAGGCCTCTGAGCCACTTATTTGCCTTTTCTATGAGCCCTCCAAGCGCTGCCTCCTGAGCAACAGTAGTAGCCCTGGCACATCCCTAAGCCTGAGTATCCCCTCCTTACTCCTGGCCTTAGGAATAGGGAACACCTCTTGCTCAGGTAGTGACTAGTCCAGAAGGGGGTGATGAGGGCTGTGGCATGGCTGGTGCAAGGGATAACGTCCTCTGACTATGCCCTGCTCTCTTACTATGTTCTGGCTCTCTCCCTTCACCTATTCCTTTAATATTGTTTTCTTCTTTGTTGTACTTGTATACTCTTCCCTTGCTCTAATAGCTGGTTCAAGTTCCACAGTATCCTTGACCATCCTGTCCACAGTGACCTATCAAGAAACAATTACATAAGTACCCTGGAGAACCACTTGTCATTTCAAGTATGTATGCCTTATCTCTCTAGTGAGATGGTACCTAAGCTCTTTGGGGGAGGCCTTGGGATCTCCTAGAGTTCCAAGCAATGAGTTGGATAAGCACACAGCAGCCTTGTCTTTGCAATCAGAATCACACGGCTGACACTTCACAGGGAAAAACAGACTGTAGCACTGTCAGATTACACAGACTAGTGTTTGCTAAATAAATAGGCCCAATGTACTACTCCTTGATGCTGTAAGACTACAAATTCTATCTCCATAAAACCCAACTGTTACCTTCAATACATCCCTGTCCCTGGGAAACCCCATAGGCCACTTGGCTTAGGGTTCAGAAACCAATGCCCAACCCAGTCACTGAAGACAAATAGAAACAAGGCAGTCATAGAGGCCAGCAGGCCACTATCACCACACAGAATATGACCCCAAGCATGCAGACAATGTAGGAGAGTTACAATTCCAGACTGCAAGAGACCAACTAGTTCAGGAGCAGGAAGTTCACAGGCAGTTTTCAGGAAGAGAGCTGTGAAGAGGGCTCTGTCGTATAGCAAGAATGTGCCTCACCAAACATGGATTCTTTAGGGTTTCCCTTTCTAAGTACCTCATATTGTTCCTAAGAATGCATTCGAGGAACCTGGAAAAGAGGGCTCCAATATCTCATTGGCCAAGTCAGCCCTTGGCCCACTATACTCTCTTACAGGAAGGAAAAAAAAGGACAATAAACAAAATACAAACAAACAAAAAACCCAAAACAATAACAACAAAATGTCCATCTCTCCCCTGAGCTCTCTTTTTTTGAGAGACTCATATTCTACAGCTGAAAGAACTAGCCAAATCGAAAGGAAAACTCACCAATTTTCCCAAAGCAGTTCATTTCCAGGTAGAGACCATGCTGCAGAATGAAATTATCTGGCAACAACTGTCCTTGGGGTTGTGAGGAATAATGTAAACTGATATAGTAATTGTATCCTCCTACTCTGTCCCTCTCTGTCTGATAACATCTGGTTGTATTAATTTGAGAAAAAAATTCATTCAGCTAAAAATGAAGAGATAATTTTGAATACTGTGGGATAGATACTGTTTTGACAGGAGGAGGCAGCAAATAGGTGGGTTTGAAAGGAAAGAAGGAATAGATTAATTCCTAGGTACAGGCCTGTCCCATCCCCACCTTGTGGATCTAGTTCCCCAGTCTGGGTGGTTAGCAAAGGTGGCCTATGAAAGCCATTCAGTGTTCCTAAGGCATTCTGTTTGGCTTTGCCAATCCCAGCCCAGTCTGGTCCACTCCCCTAGCATGTGGACTGGAGAGAGGGACTCACCACAGGTTGAGCATTTTCAGGCAGCTACACAGTGTGTAAAGAGAAAAACACAGAAAGGAAGAGAGAGAAAGAGATATTAGTTCACAGACGTGAGATGGAAGGGACTCCCTGTGAGCCATGCAAACATGCAGTATGTTGTGTCTGTGTTTAGTTTCTTCCTCTGTCAAGGTAGGGTGAGTAGGCCCAGGCCACTTGGTCCCCACACTAAAGTGGAGGGGGCAGGTGCCTGACAGAAGCTTCATGATGGGAGCTGGATCTCAGTGAGGGGTAAAGCAAAACAGAAAGAGAGTTGATGGGCGCCCCAGGGTGAGCTTTCCTGGGCACGTTCCAGGAATGTAACAGAGAAAGAGCAAATGATCTTGCCTATAAGAATTCAATTAAGCACCAAAGTTAAGCCATTTTGGTTCCTACATGAATTCTTAGTGTGCAATTTGTTAAGCTAACCTCCCAACTATTCTGAGGGAAAGAGAAGTCTTTAGGCTTTCTACAAGTCCAACATGCCTGATCAAAGCTGTCAGCAGTTAAATTTTCTTCTAAAGGGGGACAAAAGGCAGGATTAAGAGACACTTTATTTTATTAGGAGAGGACTCAGAGTGAGGAGGGTCACTACTCTGGATTAAGGTATAACTGCCAGAAAAGGGCATAAATCCCATTCTTGTTACTTTTCAGGGGAAATTAGGACCGTATTTGCTAATTTATAGCAAAAGTCAGTGTATAACCAAAAATTCCTGTGTTCTTATCATACATAACAAAAGTCACTCAACCAAAAAGCTGCCTTGTCTCACTACCTTTCTAATCATACTTAAACAAGGACGTATCCTGTAGCTAGAGAAAAAGGGAAGTCAGATGTTCATTTTGTGTATGGAACAAAGATTAAGACCCTTCCATGTCTCTCTTCCTTTACAAAAAACAAGCTTGATGAGGAATCCCAAACTAAAAGCTTGGAAGTGAAGGTTTCATTGTCTCCCCAATGCCCTAGTTGAATCTCAAGATAGGCAACAACCTTTTTTCCATAAGCAGGCTGCAGGGACAAATGGCATCATAGCTGCATGTAATGAGGGGTTGTTTGGGACGCCTTGTGCTTCTCTAGCTGTGACTTCTTCCCATGAATATGATCAAGCAGGTAAACACACAGTTCCGCCAACATCCCCCCTCACACACACACATAGAAGGCCAAGAAAAACATGGCTGTGCCCTGAAAGTTCCCTGGGCGAGCTTCTCAAAGCTCATGAAATCACTAGAGGAATCAGCACACAAAATGCCCTAAGCTATAAGCTTTTGGATGGCATTTGGTCAAACACAATTGCTCCCCTCTGGTTTCTACAAATTTAAGGCCCAAACCTGAAACTTGTGGCAAAGAGACACAGTGGTCCCTTCTTGCTAATTTGGGAGACGTTAAACTCTCTTTACATCCTATAGTTTATATTATAGCAGAACAGAATACACCAGATTGGAATCTCTTTGTGAATGACCCCTTATCTTACACATAGGACACAAACGGCACACTCACATACATGATTAGTGTACACATTTACTGAAATGAAATGAGATGAATGGGTTCAAAAGATAAACCTGTATAGGACATATTATAAGATTAAAGCCCATTCAATCTTGGTATTCAAAGTATATTATTAAAAGCAGAGCTAAACTTCTAGCCTTCAAAGTAATAGCCACAATGGTGAATTGGAAGTGAGGTGGGGTGAGAATGCGTACAGCCATCTTTCAAGCCCAGACAATGTTTGGATCAGACCACGTCTAGTGCAGTGGTTATACATTTGAATGTACCCTGGCTATACATGTGAACCATCTCGACTTTACAAATTCCTGATGCTCAGGCCATATTCCAGATAAATTAAATCAGAATCTCTGAGGCCAGGATTCAGGTATTTGTATTTTCTAACAAGTTCCAGGTGACTCCAAAGTGTAGCCAAGGTTGAGAACCCATAGGGAAGGAGTGCCACATGGTATACTTGGGAGAATAAAGTTTTGTCATAGAAACCGAAAAACTGTGAATACCATTAACATCTCCAAAGTCCCTGAGAATGGGGAGCATCTTTCCTTACTAAAATAGTCTTTTCCAGGTGTTAGAAAACTGCCCTGTCCTCTTATGTATCAGGGCCTTATATAGCCTGGGAGAGGAGCATCTGAAGCTGCCTACAGTCAGCAGGGACTCGACAGGAGAGAGTCCATCATCCTCACTTGTTTTTTATCTACTGAGTAGGAATCCTCGAGTCCTGGCTTTGTAAGTAAAGACCTCCTGACAGCAAAGTAGGCCCAGCATTTAGATGGGCAGCAGAGGAATAGGCAGGAGGGGTGACCGTGCAAAGTGTATCTGGAAGGAAGAAGAATGCAGGTCTGGATTGGCCTCTCACCACTTTATATCCAGAAGTGTAAGCATGTTCTGGCTTGTATTTAGGTTATTTGGGGACTCAAGAGACCACTTAGGATGCAATATCACTAAATATGTTGTCTGCTTCTGAGAACAGGACACAAGGGTAGCCTGAATGTTCTCAAAGGATTTACAAGAAAAATCATTCACATCATGACTGGCAGCAGTAACTGATCTATAAAGGACTTCTCTCTTCCTACCTTGTGTCTTGTTGGAGGTTAAACCTGGATCTGAATTTGGGATGGGGAAAAAAGGGAAAGAAGTGCTAGAAATGCTGCTTTTGTAGTAGAATCAGCAATTAGTTCTCCTTCCACCCCATATTCTAAGAGTTTAAACACAGACCATGCAGAGAGCACCAAGGGGCTGGTGGTATGGACAGGGCAAGACATTCACATGCAAGAGCACCAGAATAGGAGGTGGGGTAACCTCCTTACCCTCTTGGGATTAGTGTGATTTCCTTTCCTTCTCAAGACCCTTTCACTCATAGGTACAGAGACTATTTTCCTTGCCTTACTTATGTGAGTCTCTATGAATCCAGAATCATCTAAGTGAGAACAAAATGGCGCTGAAACCCTTGCTCCAGGATTATATATGCAGAGTGGTTAACCAAGAACCAGAAATTTCATGCTGTTCAGCATAGCCCATGGTTGAGATAAGCAGATTTTTGTGTGTCCCATAGGAAGCAAGAAGCTCCAGGGTACCAAGAGGCTCATGACTACTATCTATTATAGGTCTTCTATCATGATTCTTTTAGTTCACTATGTCTTTGCCTCATGTGGACTAGAAAAACATGATTGTCTTCTGGAAATCACAACTAAAGAAGGGCAGCAGCAGCCTTAGAGTACCATGCAAAAAATAAAATGCCCAAAAGAAGAAAGCTATGGACACAAGCATGAGGAATTCAGTCTGAGATTAGCAGCACACAGAGAAGAAGAGACAGAATAAAATATTTTTTAATCTATGACTCAAGAGCCCCCTTGAAAGATGAACATACTTAGCTTCCTCCACTACTTCCACCTCGGCGTGAGCTGTGATTGGTGCATTGGAGTGAGCTCCCGTGGGGTCATCGACATTCAGCTCTCCATTGGTTGAGCTAACCACCTGAAACAGAAAGAGAGTGTGACAGACACCGAGAAATACGAACCTCCTGCCAGTGCCAGAGAGGGTCACTAAGAGACATCTGGTCTCTTACTTAGGCACTAGTCAAGCAGTATCTGGAATGTTTGTTCTTCTGGGTTGAGGGGCCAACTGTCCTAATTTAGGAAAGGTTCCCAGCTCCTATCATGTGAGAATACAAAATTCAATGATGTGATCACATAATGATGATAACTTCCATACTGAATGCCTACTCTGTGTCAGGGACTCTACTAGATTGTGTGTATTATGTATGTGTAAATTTAACCCCCACAAAAATCCTACGCAATAGGTCACATTACTGTCTTTGATTCTACTCCTCCTACTTTATTATGCTGTAATTATAATATAGACTCATCCATGATGATGTTAAAAATTCTACAAAGGAAATCAATAGTGGACACCAGAAACTATAAGCAATCACACTTTCCTTCAGAAATTTCTTCATGGCTTTGACCATCAGTTTGAAGTTACTCAAACAACAAGACTGCCCTCTGGTGAGAGGGCAGACGGTAAGGAAATGCTTTCCCTTGGAAGACCAGTCTGATTTCAACAACCTTTATTTCAGGTTCAGTGTCATCTCATGTCTCACTGATGGTCCCCGAATTGTAACTGAAGGCTCTCACTCCTGTCATCTGGTTAATGTGGACCCGATCAGGCTTCTCTTGCTGTACAGTTGCTTCTGCCTCCTGGTTTCATTTCCAGCACATGATTCCTGTTTATGTGGGTGCTGGGGAGTGGGAAAAGGGACCCCGCTGCACAAACCACTCTGCTGTTAAAGATCTTGGCTGAAACATGGGAGAGAACCACAAAATAGGATAAATGGTTCGGATATCATATGCCCTTAGGTAAGTAACTTCATTTATTTGAGACTGTTTCTTACAGGTTGAGAATTATACAAGAAAATGTATGAGACAGTGCCTGGTACAATATCTGGTGCACAGAGTGGAGGCAGTATAGCACAGTACATAAGATATGGGCACTAGACTTAGTCAGCCTGGGGTTTGAACCCTAGCTCCAACCACTTACTTGCTGTGGGTCCTTGGGCAAGATCCTCAATCTTTCTGTGCCTGAGCTTCCTAATCTGTAAAATGGGGAAACAATGCTGCTTACCTAATTGGGTTACTGTGCAGACAATCCACAGAAAGTGCTTTCAAAGTGCCATGGTACATAGCAATGGCTCCATAAATATTCATATTACTGTTATTCTCCCTATATAAATGTTTATTCTTATCTCTCTCTAAATCTGGGGTCCTTACCAGAGTTAATTCATAAAAATTTCCTACAGTCATAAAGAGGAAGGTGGAAAGAAATGCTTACTATAAGGAGTCTTTTAGGTTTCAAAGAAGGGCAGACAAGGTGAATACTACTTACCAGCAGTCTATGCCCATCATTATTACTAAACCAGCAATATTTATTGTCCTTATTAATAATACATGCCTTAAAAAAATGAAAACTATGCTGCATGGTTAAAGAAACCTACAATATTAAATGTGGACTTACGCGAGGGAGACCCAAATTTCTGCTAAGGATCCAATTTAGCATCTCTGATTAATGGAACCATCCAATTTTATTTATCTCCTGACATGATATAATAATAAGTACTATATGACTATCTATGTAGTATTCTTGGCCCTCCCCCCTTAAAGTTTTATCTGAATTCAAGTATGATGGAAACAAACTGACAAATTCAAAATGTGGGGCATTCTATAGGACAATAAGGCTAGACTCTTCAAAAAAGATATGTCTTAAAAATCTTTTTTCTTTTTAAGACATGGGTGACTGTTACAAATTAAAAGAGATTAAGAATTCAGAGACCAAAAAATTGAAAGAGACTGAAGAGGCATAACACCAAATGCAATGTATGAACCTTGATTAAATCTGGAACACTGTAAAATTAATTTGGGGGACAATTGTGGAAAATGTGATATGTAATGTAGATTAGACATTATGGAATTATTATTAATTTTCTTGGTTATAAAAATGGTGTTACTGGGTACATGAGAGAATATTTCTGTTCGTAGGAGATGAAGGCTGAAGTATTTTGAGATAAAATGTAATGATGACTGCAACGTACATTTAGTTTGGTGAACATGCCCCCTGTCCCCACAACTCCTCACACACAGTTAAAGCAAATATGGTAAAATCTTACTAATTTGTTAAGAATATAAACAGGTTCACTGCATCCTCCCTCCCCACCCCCAGCTTTTCTGTAGATTTGAAAATTTCAAAATAAAAAGTTGGGGAAAACCCAGCAAAAACAAAAGGTTGAGAAGAGAGGGTTTACAGATAGGAGAACCATAGCTCTTCACACTAATGTCCTGTTCATTTCCTCAGCCTACATTTGCTTCTTGTGGGCATATTCTGGCTGCGCACTAGTGATAGTGCTTAAGTTCATTCCGTGAGCACAAGGATTAAAGGAGAAATCATAGTAAGTCTCTTAGTGAACAATTCAGCAACTAGACAAGATGTTAAATAAAATGTCTTGGCCTCTACTGACATAAACAAAGCATGAGTAAGCACCACCACTGAGAATTACCTGGTGACTTTGGGCCATGATGGTGGCTCATGGCGTCACAAGTCTCATATTCTCTAATTTCTCCTTGCTATGAAAGCCCACAAGCAATGTCCTCGGGCAACTGAAGGAATGTTATCCTCACTTTCCAGACCAGACATCCTGTCTGTATCAATGAGAATCTATCCTTAAATGAATCAGGCACAAATGGGAACCTTAACACCAGTTGTCTAACCTTAAACTTAACTGCACTTTGGAATCAATCTAGGCTTTCAGAGTATCCACTTATTTCAGGTTGCAGGTACAGTTTGTCAAACCACCGAACTGCTGCCTGTATGTGCAGTGGAAAAAACACTAGCATAGGTGACCGGAGACCTGGATTCCAGGCTTAACTTTACCACAACGTCCTCTGTGAGCCCTGATTTCTAATTCTGTTGGACTATGCCAATAACCTTGGTCATCAACCTCATGTTACTAAGTTAAAGCAATTTGAAAAATTTTAAAGAACCTTATGAATATAATTAGTATTTTAAACAATATCATTTTTATAGTTTTTCTATGGATTTTTCCTAGTATAACTTCATTTTGAAAATCTTTCATTCTTTTTTTTTATTACTTTTTAGAGCTTATTTATTGAAAATCTGAAGCAGAAAATGAAAAATAAAGATTTTACAGTTTTAAGTTTTTTACTTTAAGGACTAAAATATCTTTGTATAAAACTACCTCTGCTATATTTATATACCAACAACCATACTCTTTTTCCAATTATTTTTGAAAAAAGTAGTAATTTCCTTTTAAATACTTACAAAGAACTATAGAACTCCTCTTAACTCTGGAAAGGATAAAACCCTTTTATTATACAAATTAAAATGTAAAGTTAACTTATAAATCTACATTCAACCCCTTTAATATTAACATATATTCAATGGGACTGGCTTCATCAACTTTTTCATTTTGGCATCACAAAGATGAATCTTCTGATGTTCTATAAATAGTATACTTATATGGTAGTCAGTTTATGTGAAATTCAACTGAAATGGTAATAAATAAGAATGGAATGGAAATCAAGGAAAGGTCTTAAATAGGAAGAGAAAGCCCCAGAGTCTTTTAAAGCAGCAAGAGCACCTTCCTAATTTAGTTTCAAGATGTGCATCATCTTCCATTCACCCTCATGTTTCCAGGGCCCAGTGTTTTGATGGAGGAGTCTTATCCTGTTGCTTGTTTGGAATCTGCTGCAGGGGGACACCTCCAGCTGTTGGAGATGTCCTGTATTATTAATCAACCACTCATAAAACTTATTTTCCACAAGTACCTGGAACTGCTCCTTTTGATCTTTTGTCAAATGAGACTCCTCCTTCACAGTTTTCTGCCAGATTTGTATCGTCAGTTCTCTTTGACCCAGTGCTTTCTGGTAAGAAGATGGAAGACCCCCAGGTATCTCGGTTGTGTCCCCTTCCATTTCAAAGGGGATAATAAATACATAGAATTCACAAGGTGGTAAGAGTGGGAAGACACTTGTGTCTCTGTTTTCTCTGCATACAATCATTGGATTATCCCAATAGTTAGGCACTGTACCAAGGCCAGTGCTGGCCATATGGTCCTTCAGCATTGGGTAATCGATATGAAAAGGGCAAAAGTTATTGTGTGGTTCCCAGAGAGAATAAGTGGGCATGTAGACATCAGAGTGTAAAAGATGCAGCCTGTTGTAAAAGAGATGGACAAATGATGACAAATGGCAATGCCTTTAATGTTGTCACAGCTGTGGAGGTGAAGATTAGTCTCTACAGGGCCAGGGACAAAGGTGTTATTTCTGCACTTCTCAACTGTCACAGATTGTAAGGGAGAGAGAAGATATACAAAAGGTTCAATGCAACGATGAATCTTTACATGTGCCCCCACCAGAGTATCTGAGCTCTTGGCAAATGTCTGCTTGTAAACCTGGCTCATGACCACCATGTGGTACATCCTAGGGGGCCACGTGAGTATTACAAGCAATCTTAGCTCTTTTGGTCATCCCTTCAACTTGGCGAGCCCAAGCCAATTTCTTTCCAGACCTGAGGGAAGCAGAGGTTCCAAGTGGATTCCCAAACAGGCTCTCAGCCAGGCTTCCAGCTTGTAGAAAGAAAAGATCTTAGAGATCTTTGAGAAGCCACTTTCTGCATATAGTGGCTGCCACAGCGCAAGTTCAAGAAGTGGATATATCTTCCTGGCTCTCCTCACTGTACCTTCAATAAGAAAGGCGAGTGCCACAACAGTTTCTCTAGAGACTAGACTACTATTAGTCGAATGAAACGATGCAGTAAGTTGTTCTGGATCTAAAAGCAGCTCAAGGAGCCCAGCCAGGCACGGCTCAGTGGTTGAGCATCGACCTAGGATCCAGGAGATTGCAGTTCAATTCCCAGTCAGGGCACATGCCGGGGTTGTGGGGTCGATCCCCAGTCGGAGGGTGTGC